GGAGAGGTTTGGGAAAACTCCTGAGTGGGGAGAGAGCCAGGCCCTGGAGGCCGGAAGTGGGAGTGAGGGAAGATGGCGGCCCTGCTGTCCTTCCCTCGGCGGGCGACCTTCTTCCTTAACAATAGGGCACTAGCCTTTGGCGAGCACTCATTGTGCAGAGCCAGTGTGTGGACATGTGGCCTCATGGAATCCTTCTAGCAGGGGGGCCCATTCATAGCATTCTCCTTTTGCTGTTCAGAAGAGCAGGCCTCCCCTACTGCCACTTGCTCGAGGTCACATCCAGATAGCAGGTAAGGGAGCTGGGGTTTGAAGCCTGTCCTCTCCTTCCTCCACTGACTGGCCTAGCCCACCCTGAGCGCCAAGTGGAGACCAAATTTAGCAAGGGGTGATGTGGGATTGGCATCGGCGCTGGACACAGAGATTCGCTAGCAACTTCTGCTGTTGGCATCAGCTCGTCCCCACTAGACACAGGAATTGAAAGCAAGTTGACCCTGAACTTGATGCCAGGAGAACACTCACAGAGCCACCTCTGGCGCCAGGAGGGTCTGAGAGTAGGCCCCGGTGACCACTGGGGCTGGCTTCTGGGGGTCATCAGGGTGGCACCATGTAGCTCTTCGGTGGTCCCAGCCGGCTGTGACATGAGCACCATGTGGGTGCTGGATTGGTCTTCCGTGGGCCTGACAGGGGCCCCCATGGGGGGACCCAGCATCTGACGGTTAGAAACCTCCCTCTGCCCACTCAGAGGCCAGCTCCAACTTTGGACGAGTGCAGGTGGGTAGGTTGGCACTCTCAGGACTGCCGTGTTGCTCAAAGTGTTCTAGATTTCTAAGCTGGAATCCTGTGGGCAGGGAACAAAGAGCAGAGAACAAAACAGAGAAAAGTTGTTTGTTGGTTTTAAAGGGAGCAGAGGAGGGAAGGATTAGCACAGGTTTGGCAGGTATCAGTCCCCTTAATCCCAATCACCAGCCTACACCTGGGCTGGCTACAAGCCTGCGCCCCACCCCCAGCCCCGCCTTCCCCTTGCTGTTCCTTGGCAAGGAGGGAGGTAGAATTTCAAGAGTTTGTTTGTCACTGAGGTTGGCACCAGCCAGGGCACTGAGCCTTCAGACAGGCTGCCATGAGCTGAGGAAGAGTAGGGCATGTGGCCGACGGAAGTACTTAGCAGCAGAGACGTCAAGTGCGCTTGGCCTTGTTGGTAACCTGGCAACATGGAGGGAGGCTAGCATCTGTCGTCATGTGACTTCTCCCTCAGAGGCAGGAGTGTGGCAGGCCGGCGTGCAAGGGCCTGGCCATCAGCTTCCAGGATGAGTTAGGGGAGCGCCCAGGAAAATCTCTTTCCCTCCCTGGGACTCAGTTTCCCTTTCTGGACAATGGTAGAGCAGTCGAGAGTGCAGTTAAGACATGGACTGGAATACCTTATCGCTTCTTTGTTGTGGGGCTTTGAGCAGGTCGCCTCACCTCTCTGAGCCTCCTGCGGCCAATGACAGGATGTGCCTCTTAGCTTATTATGGGAGGAGTCATTGATTCATGAGTTTGAAGTGCCAACAAATAGTAGCTGTTCCTATTTGATCCTCAGGATGAAGTAAGGGATTCTCTAAACCCCCTTCCAGATTTTATATGCTCTGGTCTAAAGTTCTGAATCCTTTTTCTTTGGTAAAGGAGGAAGGGAGAGAAAGCCTTGAGGGAACCTGCCTGTCCCTCCTTCTTTGACACAGCTGCGCCCTCTCCCTGGAGCTGCAAATGGAACATTAACCTTGGAGGCAGCATTGATGATGGAGTAGGCATTGTGTGAGGAGGGGGGTCAGGGGTTGTTTGGGGGTGGGGAGGCATGGCCCCCACACAGCAGCTTGCCCATCATCTGTCTCCCCTTGTGTCTGTCTGTCTTGTTCTTTATCTTCCCTGCAAGTCAGCCTGCCCTTCAACCCTCTTGTGTGCTTCTGGATCTTTCTGTTCATGCCAGTGTGTGCAGTGGCTTCTCCTAGAGGCCTCTGTTGTGTATCTTCTTATTTATACATCAGATGTATAAGGGGTATACGTGTGTCATTCTGGGCACGTGTGTGAGATCTTTGCACATCTGAGCACATGTATGTATCCGCGTGTCCATGTTGATATATGTATTTATGAACACACCTGTCTGCAGAGTGTGTGTGTGCATGAGTGGGTATCCATATCTGTTTGGGTCCAGACATGTACATCTGTGTAAGCACATGACAGGGTGTGTGTGTGCAGGCCAGTGTGCCCGAATGCACGCCAGTCTCTGTGTCTGTGGGCAACTGAGTCATGCTTTGGAGTATGCCTGTGGGAGGACGTCTGCATGTGTGTCTCTGTGTCCACCCTGACATCCGTCTGGCCTTTC